TTCGTGAGCTCTAAAGCAGCTTCACGACAAAGACATCACCATTCTACAAGGAGATCATCATTGATGTGAAGAGAGGGGTCCGACAGGGCGACACCATCTCGCCCAAGCTCTTCAGCGCCTCTCTCGAGAACGTCATGCGTCAACTGGAATGGGAAGACATGGGAGTGAAGATCGACGGTCGGCAACTACACCATCTCCGCTTTGCTGACGACATCGTTTTGATAACGCCAAACATCGAGCAAGCGGAACGAATGCTGGCTGAATTCGATCTACGGCTGAACCTAACGAAGACGATGTTCATGAGAAACGGATTGGTATCTGATGCCCCATTCACGCTCAACGGAACGACCATCTCTGAATGCTCTAGCTATGTGTACCTAGGTCGTGAAATCAATATGATGAATGACCTAGCTCCAGAGCTGAGCAGGAGGAAGCGAGCGGCTTGGGGAGCCTTCAAGAACATCGAGGGAGTAGCGAAGAAGACGAAGAACACCAAGCTCCGTGCCCACCTCTTCGATTCCGCGGTCCTTCCTGCCTTGACGTACGCCTCAGAGACTTGGACTCTACGAAAGCAGGATGAGCATGCGGTCGGCGTTATTCAACGCGCCATCGAAAGGGCGATGCTCGGAGTTTCCCGCTACACGCAAGTGAGAGAGGGAATCCGGAGCTCCGCACTCCGCCAACGATCGAAGATCAGAGACGCCGCCGCATTTGCCAAGGTTTCGAAGATCAGGTGGGCCGGACACGTCATGCGTTTCGAGGACGACCGCTGGACCAGAGCAATCACCGACTGGATTCCACGGGATGTCAAGCGAACGCCTGGAAGACCGCCTACGCGATGGTCAGATTCGTGAAAGCTCTGAACGAATGGTATGAAGTTCATCGTGTCCCTCGAGCTGAGAGTTCATTGGGCAACTCTTGCACGTTGCAGGGACGAATGGAGACGTTACTGGCGCCCGCTCGAGGAACTCGATGATCAACGGGAGCACAGGTGATACAGGTGATTGTAGAGGAATCGGATAGCATGTCGTGTCGTGTCCTGGCGTCCGGCCACCGGGCCTGAGCCCGTGGAAGCATGAAGGATCGAAGAGTAGCGGAGTCGGATCGGATGACGTTCTCTCTGCTGGCTCCGTTACCAATGATGATCCCATCCCATCGTACCATCTCCGCGCCGTCTCCGCCTCCTGTAATCAAGCAAGTACATCGAAGCATCAACATACTGGTCTGTAATTCTATCACTGACTAACCCTTACACATCCCCCTTTACAAAACACGTCCGTCCCCGGACGTGAGTATGAAAAGATGAAAGGGCATGCCAATGAAATAAAGCAAGTATTACAGGGAAGCAATAGCTCACCACGTTTGAGCGAAGATGTCCGGCAGCGTGGATTTATTGACGACGACATCTTTCGCGGTAGCCCACTGCAGGAGCCGTCCCCAGTTCGGTAGAGAACGGAGACACTAGACGTTGCGAAGAAGGGGTTTGCCATGGCGACAACGCGTTACGGCCACCTTCGTCCGTTCCAGGTCGTCGATAAACTCACCTGTAGATGGTGCGATGTCGGGGCGAGTGGTTAAAATGAGGGTGGCATTCATTTCGCTGCCCTGGACCGAGTCGAGTGTGAAGATGGATGCCGAGGATCCAAATTGTGCGTTCGATAAGCCGCTGTTGGCACTTGTAAAATGTCATGACGCCGAAAGATTCAGATGGAATACCTTTGACAATGAGGGATTGCACAATTAGTGCAAAACAGTAGGCCCCATCGTCATTAGAATACCAGTCGGCTCGCCGGCTGACGCCTTCGTGCCGCCTTCTGTGATACTGTGAAAATAGGTACTTCGTGCTTGGAGACGCACTCCACTCACTGTGGGGGGAAGGAGGGGAGTGGTATCAATACACTTAAGACATACTTAATTCTTGCTATATGTTTCTCTTCTCTAACAGTTTTTTCTTATCTCCAAGCTCATTCAGATCCAAACCACAACATTTCGCAGCAAGCGTCGCTCATTTCGAAAGCAGTCCGCCCATTTTTAAGATTTCTCCCGATCTCGACTGCTATCTCTTGTGGACCTCAACCTAGTTGTTCCGGTGCCAATCTGCTCTGCAGCTAATTCGTGAATTTTGACCTTCGCGCCCATTGTGTGCGGAGTGTGCCCATATCGGCACACTCCGCACACAATGGGCGCGTAAACCTCGCTTCTCGGAGCTCCCGCACATCTTTACTCGCCTTTTGCCAGTGTCTGGAGTCTGCTCTGGAACCATTTCACAGATTTCTGCGTCTGGCTCCACACAGATCGTCGCACACAATAGATGTTTTTGCACTCCAAAACCGGTGACTCCTCGCTTACTCCAGTCCATTTTTTCTCTAGTGCCTGAAGTCCTCTGGAACCGTTCCACAAACTTTTAATTTGGCTCCGCCCACCTCGCCGCGCACTCACCCTACAACGGATGTGTCCCGCATCGCGGTCCCTCCTGACAGTATCGCTTTTAGGCAAGTGTTCTGGAGTGTTCTGGAACCGTTTACAGAGTCTTTGTCTGGCTCCGCCCACCTCGGAGCAGGCTCCGCCCACAACTTGTGAGCCCCAACAGTCCTCACCGGCGACCCTTGGCTGACATTGATCCACTTTTTTCCGGTTTTCTCAAGTGCTCCTGAACCAAGTCACAAATTTCTGAAAGGGCACCCCACTATTGACAGCAAGCTTCGCCCACTGTGGGCGGTCTCAGCACACCTCAGGCATGCCAAACTCTCCCCAGGTGTTTCCTCCTACATCGACCTTTTTGCGATTTCTAAACTCTTTCGGGAACCGAGTTAATGAATTTTGTGGGAAGCACCGCCTATCTCAAGTACGCCCTGCCCATTTCGGGTATGTCTCCACTAATTAGTCTGACAACCCCTTGCTAACCTTATTCCACTTTTCCCCATCTCTGGGCTGCTCTGGAAGCGAGTTATGAGTTTTTTTCTGCGGCACCGCCAACTTTCGGCGCATGCCCCGCCCACTGTGGGCGGGGCTTCGCATAGGTCAATGTGTGCTTTTTATTTCTTGTCCCATGCCCTACCCATCCCCACCTTGACCCGACCTCTCCAAGTCGTTCTTCAGGTCGAACCGAATTTCCGGACAAACAAACAAACAAACTGACGAAGCAAATTATATGTAGTGGGGGACAAATTAAATATAGTGGGTAATGGCTGTGTCGGTGAGATGCGAGAACGACCCTCGATGTTGACCATCATGAAAGGGATTGCAGGATTAGGCAGTGTTAATCGATCTACCATTAGAGAGCGATGGTGTGCTGGTGTGCCGCTGGTGAGAGCTTCGTCGTAGACCAGAACGTTGAGCAGCTCGTTTAGAGCGGGATGGGTCCTGAACGTTGCCAGAAAGGGGGGGGGACGTGTTCGCGGAAAAGGAGATTCACGATTTCTCTTTCTCCAAGACGAGCTGCCAAAGATGACCGGGAGCAGCGAACTTGTGGCTCCAAGCTAGAATGCGTCCCTCGATATAGATATGTCGTGCGAGGGGGAGATCGTGTAGTAAGAGCGACGAAAGCTGAATTGGGCAGTTGAAAGGTTTTGTCATCGATAATGACCGTGCAGGAGGCCAACGTACCGTGGAAAAGACCGCCTAGCTTGGCGGAGTTTAGCAACGAAGAGGCAGTTAGAAACATCACAGACGGGACGTGAACGCGGAGCAGGATGGCTACCGCTTGCTCCGTGGCCTCGGAGTTGTGATTCTCGGCGATGCGATATTCCTCATACTCCTCGTCTGTTAAGTGAAGAGTGGATTCGGGATGCAAGAGAATCTGCTCCACGAGACGCCGACCGTGGAGCGTACTCGTTTAATCGGTCCCGCTCACGGGCGTTACGAGAGGCAGAATTTAAAACCAAGAGGTGTAGGAGCGTCCGATCAAGGTCGACAGGGTCGTAGGAGCATCGTCATGCCGCGCTGAGTCAGCTACAAAGCTGATGATCGTTAGTCGATCGCGATAGTTATCGAGTCCGAGGAGTGCGTCTGTGTGCTGAGCTATGGCCGCACTGGTTGTAGCCGTGGCGATGACCAGGTTGCCAGGACTCACCAGATGGGCGGCTATAAGGGCGCCAAAGGTTGACATACGCGCTAGAAAAATATATGCGCAACGCTCTTCTTGTTCATGGGTCCATATGAGAACCGATCCGTCTGAAAAGGTGGAGGTATCGTCCTGTACGAACACTTGGACAGATCGCCTTCAGGCGACTGTGGAGTTATGTCGGAGTGCTTGCCGTGGATCGAGGGTGGGCAAAAGAAGCAACTAGTAAACGAGGTGGTATGGTCCACATAGCTGCCAAACGGGGCCGAAGGAAACTGGAATGACAGCACGTTTTGAGTACGCCATATTCCTGATGATTCACGTAACGCGCCGTGTTGGCATCGATGGTGGAAAACCATCTGTTTACACTCCTCTACTGATACAGCCACATGGGTTTCTGAGTGGGTTTCACTATGGAGCTCCAAAGAAATAAACGGAACAGGTTACTGTGAGACGAATAATCGTACACAGTGAGGCTGAGAATAATGCCTCGTATTAGGACGATAAAGGTGTAAAGAGAGATCACTGCGAGGAGTCGTATGGTGGGGCAAAAGCCCCGTGAAGCTGAGATTCCGAACCAGGTTGAGCCCTCTTAGCAAACGATGTGCACGGTTTGCCTGGTTATTGGTGGCGAGCCGATAATTTTTGACGAGCAACGTAAGATTGCTGAGAACTCTCGAAGAAGCGGCAAGATGACTGACGATCGTAGAATAGTTCCCCTTGGACTCGCCGTCCAACTCCTCCACCTTTTCGCTTTCTACTCCACCGAGATGCCAAATTGGCCCGCTGCTCATCGGTGAGAGGAACCGGACGCATGAGCATGATATCTTCAAGACGTTGTAACCAGATGGAAAACTGGACACCGGTGTCGGTAGAACCTGAAAAGGGGGTGACCTTGGAAGCCTGGGCGTTGGGCTGGAGCATGGCAACAGCCGGGAGGGCATCGAGACGTTTGCCGACAGCTGCAAAAGACTCGTTCAATTTTTCCTTGTATGCCGTATTGCCTTCGTCACTCTTTCGATTGAGCATGGCAGCGGTTGCGCAGGTATTGCCCCACACCTGCAAAATAGCCCATGAGGTAGCGTCGCGCGGATGCCTAATGTCAGGACCTTGAAGGGGAGAATTATCCTGAAGATCACCGAAAAAAGCGAGGGCAGAGCCCGAAGGGGTTTTCCCTTTGGCAGGCTTGGAGTCGGAGGGGGGAACAGGAGTCCCAAAAGTCGATGAAGAAGAGGACTCGGCGAGACTACGCGTTACCGGCGTAGTGACAGGCTAAGGGAGACTGCGAGTAAAAAAACGGTAGCTTGAAGCTGGGAAAAGCCACATTATGACGCTGAGAAAGTAAATATCCACGCCGTTCCCGCTTAAAGTGTGGTGCCGATGCTATCACAATGGCACGGTAGCGGTACCGTCCGCATAGAGCGTACGGTAATGCCGCAGGAAACGAAGAAAGTGAACGCCGAGTGCGTGAAAAGGAAATCCAAAGAGGGAATGAAAATAATCTGAAGAGCAAGTGAAGAGAGAAAGGTGAGTTAACAGCACTGGAGCGTTCGAAGCGCGATACAGTGTACAACCGCAGGGGAGCGGACGCTGACTCCCCTACGTGGCCACCATTCAGCAGGCTCAACACGATCCGTGCCTGAACAGGAGCCAATAGAAAGCATAGAAGTGCAAAGTTCGTCTTCTGGTAAAGCTCAGCGAAAATGAACATCACTTCTCTGTGCATTCATGAAACCCATAATCATGTACAACATTGTTGTGAATGACGGAAGACTCCATGTGAGCACCAATAAATCATCAATTAGCCATCACATAACCAAGTAAATGGCAAGAACAGTTTGAATTTATACTCAATATATTCAGTGTCTTCGTAGTTCTGACAATCGTACTTTGATCGTACGCATTAATTGTAATTGTCCTCTCATCGTATGCACAATTTTCATGGAATTTCTTTATGCTGTTTCTACTAGTGTTTACCTCTTCTTCTTACTCTGCCGCTATGAGAATATCGTTGTCTCTCCTAAGTTTATTAGATCAATTCTCCTCCGCGTTGCAACTTTCCCAAGCAGTCCGGACATAAAAGCGGCCGGAGAAAGTTTGGAGGTAAACCAATTGTTACCTTCCTACTTTTGTTCTTTTAGCATCTATTCGAATATCTCTCGCACGTTGTATTGGACTGGAACGGCTTAGGAGCACAACCACTGCACCACAAGTCGCCTCTTCAGCACTATAAGGCGGCACGAGGTAGATCTAGATAACCATGAATTTATCTATTTCTCTTTGAACCAATGTCCATATTAATATGGAACTAGGATTAAGAGTCTAACTAGACAGTGTCAAAAAAGTTCCGCGTCTTATACAACTATCCTAAGTATACGACAGCCGACTTCAAAGACTTTCTATTCGAAGTATAAACCCAACTCTTTCTTCCTGAAAGACAAAACGAAAACCTATACTGTAAATTTTTTTCTCGGAGAACATTCATTCAAAAGAGAACAACAAATATGAAGCAAAATATGATAACAGTTGAAAAGGCGAAACCACACCGACAACACCTATACATCCTAATTCATATTTTTTCGGAATGATATAGCAGTTGATAACTATAGTATCCAGCAGGGAGCGGAAGGTGGCGCGCGGCAGCTGTGCTAGAGTGGCACTGCTGCAGGCACTGTCTCGCACGTGGGAGAGATCTCATTCTCACAGACGTGTAGGGTGGTGATTTCTTGGAAAACCACGGAGTAGTACTCATGAATGTTTTACATGCTGTTTTGTGAAGACATGTATACAGGGGGGGGGGGCAAAAAAAAGTCACTTTGCTTCATTGACTTTCGAGGCGCTATAAGTTACACTTTATAAATTCTGATCGGACATTTCTACCACCATATTAAAGAGCATATTAAATACTATTATGACACTCCGCCACAGCCTTCTGGAGGAGCGCCATCGAGAGATTCTGGCACGCAACCGCGATGTGGTCCCTGAGATCAGCGAGATAGTCGATTTCTCCGCCACCGTAGACCACCCTATTGAACTCCGCCCGAACCGGGTAATTGAGGGATTCAGGTGACCTACTTGGATATTCCATCTTCTTTAGGTACTCAGCCCCCTTCCATTCCAAGTAGGCGAGAGTTTCTCCAACGCCCTTCGATTCCACGTGGTGGCACCCAATGCTGTAGCAGTACAAAGTTTCCAAGAAGGTACGGGCGACGACATGTGGGGAAGATATTCTTCTTGAGTTGGTCGATGTAACCGCCAGCGCTCAGCTTCAGCCCGGGGTCCACGAAGAAAATATTGGTCTTTCCATTCCAGGTGCGTCCGGTCCATACCATCAACCCGCGCCTTGGCGACTGCCGTGAAGATGATGTCCTAGACCGTAGCGACGTTGTCGGAGCTGCTCGATGTTGGAGGTCTTCCAGATTGAGAGTACTGGGTAGCTACCCATAAGCGACATGAATTCCAAAGGTCTTCTCCAGTCAGGCTGCGACTGGAGATGACTTCATATTTTGGTGTACATGAAGGTGATGGGCGAGAGCCAGCTCCTGCTTATAGAGGAACATCTTGGGTATCTTCCGCCCTGGTACTCGTATCCACGTCTTCTCTCTGGGCTGCGAAAACTTTGCTGATATGTGACTCGGTCGAAGTGACTTTTTTTGCCCCCCCCCCTGTAGTGTAGTTCATTGCGGACGGTTGGGCGTGTTCGTGCGGCTGCGTTTGGCGCGGTGCCAAACTCGTTCTCCACGAGTTGTTCAAGCGAGCAAATGACAATACTGTATCATACCTTTCGTATTACTTGTTTTCTACTGCTTTTTGTCGCATGCCCGTTTCAACAAGAAGGCAGAGAACAGCTCAAAGAGGGTGACACACTCATACTGGCTGACACGCCCAACCGTCCGCAGCGAAGTAGAGTGCAACCCGTGCAAAGCTAAAGTACATTAACACATTATGTAGTTCATGCTACGTGAAGTATAAGCTGAACAGGCGCTTTATTTTGCTTTCGGCTACAGAATTACAGTTCTACGTGATCAAAGCGGCTCAGGGACTGATGCTCCATTTCGCAGTTCTAAAAGATATACGGGCCTCACAAAAGTCAGGGACTTACAAAGGCAGAAAACTAGCCAACTAGCAAAATGCTCTTCCTCCTTCATCTAACCTAATCAGCGCCGTTTACAATCACGACTCTTTCAGCGGCCGACAACGACTATCTACAGTGGAAACCACATCGAATATCTCCAACTATTGTGATGTTGTGATTTCATTTCTAGCAGAATTGTAGAGGTTACTTTGTCAACAATTATTACGTACGTCACCAAATGTGTCGAAAAACACAACAAGGGACGCTAACAGATTGCCCTAGTCGCTCACATCGTGGTGCTCACCGATGTTTACACTTGAGAGTGAGCTCGAATCTACCTTTACAGTGTGCGAAACAAATCTCTGAGAGGACATACTGTTGAGTTTCCAGGATGGCTTCTTTGTTACCCCCCTGTTTATTCGCACGAATGCGGTCCAGCAAGTGGTCTTTAGTATACCAGGTAGGCACATTTTTTCTCAGTTATAAAGTTATGTGCTCGCATACTTGACCTCCACCCTTCTCTGGCTTACATGTGAACATCTCCTATATCTAAGAAAATGTTCTGTTAAGCTTTGGCAAGTTTCCTGCTTGTTGGACTACGGTGAAATAAATGCCAGAACTCTGCTGTTCCCAATCATACAACATTTAGAACTTACCAGCTTGATGAATTGACCAAGCGAATTTCGCCTTATTTGTGAGCAGCTCATACTGGACTGTATCAAGTCCACGCTTACCTAGAGTCATCCCACTCGACCCCTGTAATAGTTGGTTCACAGTCTTCTCTGGGAACAATGGTTCTAGTTCTGCTTCGTCATCCATTGTAAAGATTTTAAATAAGAAAGAACACCGCTCATGGAGGGCATCTCAGGAGTTTCGTCGCACGGAGTGACGACATGTGGACACCCTGGATATATAATACATGGTACACTTGCCTTAATCAATGTTTCTCCAGAATCCGTCCAACCAGTAA